AGGTGTCGGGACAGTTTTGCACATTGAAGCCTCCCCTTGTGTGACACAAGAAGGGAGGGCAGGACAAGGGGTAACGGGTGGGTGAAAATGACCAAGGCTGTTTGGCACATGAGCGAACTGCCAAAGTGAAGCCTGGTAATCTGATAACCAACTGACAAAGCAAAGAAAGGAAGGAAGAAAGAAAGGCAGGCTGGCCATGGGAGACAAGAAGGAATTTTTAAAATATGAAAAAGAAAAAAGATAAATAATAAAAATGTTAGAAGGGACTAGGGGTACAGCTCAGGGGTGGAGTGCCTGCATTCCACCCCCAGCAATGCAAAAGCAGTGACAACACTGATGATGATTCTGCTACCTGACACAGGACTTCTCCCACCCCATTATAACTGAGACTGATCTGTATAGGCTGTTTGGAATTTACTAGCACAGAGTGATTACGACTTAAGACTTCAGAGCTGTACTCAAAATAAAATCTTAACATTATTCCTACATACAAGTATCGAAAATACTTGTTAGCCACCAGAAATAGACAAGGAATCGGTATGCAGAAGTGATTTTGAAAGGGAACTGTCTATGTAATTACCAAAGAAACTGCTAAAACATCGTCCTTCCATACAAAACTTCACTAAGGCTTGATAAAATTATTCAGACAAGCATATTATAATAAATCAATAAACGAGACACATTCATTCAACAGTTACTATAAAATGTCATGGTATAATGAAATATGACGGACATGTAAGTAATGCTTAGTGAGTTAAGACTCTTTCTGTACCTTAACCCTACATTAAGCTTAATCACTTAAACAGAAAAGGTACATCAGCATTAAATCTGATGGGTTACTTATCTCACAAAAGGTCTAAATGCACATGCAATATCTAACGTGAAATATAACTTAAAGGGAAAAAATGGACAAGAATTTCTATGTCTTTTTTTTAAAATCTACAGGAAATTGAACTTAGGGACTTCCACACAGCTACATTCTCCACTCTTTTATTTTTAATATTGTGGGGCTGGGGATTTAGCTCAGCGGCATAAGCGCCTGCCTTACAAGCAGGCAGTCGTGAGTTCGATCTCTGGTACCGATAAAAACGAAAAAGACAAAAAAAAAAAAATTTTAAATATTTTTAATATTGTGATGGTCTCAGCTCCAACCTACAGTCTTCCTGCCTCAGCCTAGCAGACTGCTGTGACTACAAGCATGGACCAATACACACAGCTTGCAAATGCCTAACTTTTGACAATCACCCTCCATGTCACTGACCCTGGACACAATCACATTCAACATCTGATCATGCTACTGATTCAAGAATGCTTGACTCAGAATTGGAGTTGGAAAAACACTTTTATACTCTGGTTTTTGCTTCAAAGCAGAAAGGAAAATTCGCTTCAAGGTTTTTTTGGGTTTTTTTAAATTCATTTCTCTTTCTTCCAGGTAAGGGATCAGTGTTTCAAGAAAGTGGGTAAAAAAAAAAAAAAAAAAAAAAAGAAGAAGAAGAAGAAGAAGAAAGAAAGAAAAAAAAGAAAAGAATGCTTCTGTTAAAGTCACTGGTAGAATCTCTAAGATGATAATATGTAATCTATTAACTGGTGATTTCTGACTGTTTTTTTTTTTGTAGTTCTGTATTACTTGTACCCTTACACCACTTTGTTTTGTTTTGTTTTTTTCTCTTTTTCCTTTAAATAAAATAAAAAAAAAATAAAAAAATAAAGTCACTGGTAGAGATGGAGCACTTTCTGAACCGGCCTCACGTGTACAAGGCCCTGGATGCAATCTCCGCAGCACAAGAAAAAGCAGCACAACTCCAGCGATGATAGTTTCCAGTATACACTCCACCTTCAAGTGTGTTTGGTCAGGTAAAACTAACATGGACACAGCCCAGGCTGCCGAGAACCCTGAGCCTCTGGGTGCCAGCATTGCAGGTATCACTGCTGTGCCCGACCACCCTGGGAACCACTTCTTCCCAGCCAGTGGTTCAGATGCCTTTAAAAACTATTCACTAGGATTTTAATTTCTGTTTATTAGAGAGGATTAGGCTGAATGAAATACACTAGTCCTACAATACCCATTACTGGGATGAAGTAGCTACACTGTATGTGACACAAAGTAGGCAGTAAATTAACATTCTTCCCCTATGAAAATTTTTGCTCAAATTTTGTTGGGAAAAATTTAACTACCAAAAAACACTATCTTTAAAATTCCTATTTTTCTACATCCATAACAGCAGCTTATTTACACAACTGAAATTGATGAGCAGGCATTCTTTGGCTTCCTGGATTCTTAACTGTGCTTCTCAACTCTGCTAATCCTCCTATAGAGTTAAAAGTTTTTGCTACCCAACTCATGAAATAACGTAAACCTAAGACACTTCCAAACTAACCCACAAAATATTATACAGAACCAAGGCTCCATATTTCAACTGCGTCTTACAAAAATTACAAACAGAATTCTTCATGAAATGACAGCACGTTCACACTACATATCCATGACAGATAAACCAGGGATCCAAGCTGGTTGCAGGATACAGCATGTAATTTACTCAGGAGGCTGAGGTAGGAGAATTGTTGTGAGTTTGAGACCAGTCTCTAGGCTACAAAGCGAGTGCACAGGCCAGCCTTAACTGCATAGCGAGACCCTGTCTTAAAAAAGACCAAAAAAGGGGCTGGAGGTTTAGCTCAGCGGCATAAGTGCCTGCCTTGCAAGCAGGTAGTCGTGAGTTCAATCCCTGGTACCGATAAAAAGGAAAAAGACAAAAAAAAAAAAAAAGACCAAAAAAAAAAAAAAAAATTACAATAAGTATGGGCTAAGGCTGTAGCTCAATAACGATTGTCTAGCATGCTCAAGGACCTGGGTTCAACCCCCACTACCACCCCAAAAATAAGTGCATACAGTCACTGGGTGGTGCATAATACATATTTACATGAACATACAGAAGACAGGAGAGTAGGGCATGGTAAAGCTGGCTGGGGAACTGGGTGACAACCTCTTAACACAGGCAAGACCAGTTCCTAAAGCCATGTGGTGGTCCTCAGTAGGCGACCCTTTGGAAAGAGGGCCTAGACCTAGCATCAGCCTGGGGTGTGAGACCTCAGTGCGCCTCTCGGGACCCATGTACAAGCTCTCTCTCACGGACTCCTCCAGATCTGGACCAAAAGGCCACCATGCCGTGAAGAGCTGCCACAGCAGCTCTCCTCACAGCAGCTTCTTCTTCCTCCAAAGTGCGCCTTTTCCTTTCTGCTCTACCCAAGCTCTCTTTGCTGAGCCAGTTTCTTCCTCTCTCTTCACTTTGACTTTTTCAAGTTATTTCAAAAACTTTTTGAACTGTTACTTCACTCGTTTTATTCAGTTGTTTGCTTGAGACAAGCAGAAGCTGAACTCCAACTGCAGAAGGGCAGACCAGCAACCTAAAACCCAGTAACATTTATTTCATAAGCCACTTTTAGAAAGAGCTGCCCAGTAACGTAAGTGTTGAAAGAAAACAAATTTTCTTTTTTGTCTTTTTCCTTTTTATCGGTACCGGGGATTGAACTCACAACTGCCTGCTTGTAAGGCAGGTGCTTATACCACTGAGCTAAATCCCCAGCCCCTAAAACAAATTTTCTAACCAATATGAAAATCCTGTATCTTATAACACAATAAATAAGTTGACCAACTACTTCATGATTACTAACTGCTAAGGGGTTGGGGTGTAGCTCACTAGCAAAAAAACTTGCCCAGTATTCAAAAGGTCCAAGTTTTGATCTCCAACACTACCAAAAAACTTTTTAAAAAAAGGAAGCACCAGGCAAGGTGTAGCATGCCTTTATTCCCAATATTCAGGAGGCTGAGGCAGGAGGCTCACTGAGAATTCAAGGCCAACTTGAACTACACAAGACACTACCTCAAAAAACTAAAAGCATTGGGCTGGGGATTTAGCTTAGTAATGCCTGCATGGCAAACTTGAGGTCATGAGTTTGATCCCTGGTACAAAAAAAAAAAAAAAACTAAAAACATTTAGGGAAGAGCCACCTTGCAGAACAGTTTTAATCCTGAATCGCAGAAGCTGGGAAACTTACTGGAAAGTTAATTAACACAGAGGTCTCAATCTAGGCAACACCAGCAGACTAGGAACAAATAAACAGTTCTGAGTTTTTGCTTTGTTTTCAATACTAGGGTCTAAATACTGGGCCTTCGCACAGATCTGTGTCTCAGCCCTGGTTTTATTTTTATTTTGAAGGTTCCTAAGTCATTAAATTGTCCAGGGTAGGCTCAAATTTGTGGTCCTCCTTCCTCAGTCTCCTACAGGCTATAATTACAGGCATGCATCACCACGCCCAGCTCAAAGGAGCCACAGAACAATTACAGCAGCAAGAAAAAAGGAACAGCAAGGATTTCACAGATGACTACCCCTGGCAGATAAAGATGAAAAACAAACAAAAAGCAGAGTTCTGAGTCAGTCAGGTTATATTCCAATCTGCTATGTGAGTTACTTGCGCCTTGGCCTAGCTTCCTTAGACACACAGAGATTTGCTTTGGTCTGGGTGCTGAAAGGTTAATGAGAAGGCACAGGGGAGCGCAGAGACTTCAATAGGCACCAAGAACCGTAGCTGCCTCAGCTCTGCTTTCACAACAGAAAGGCAGAACCTGTCCACCAGGGGCTGACAAAACAGACAGGAGAAATGAAATGACTTACTCAGTGGCACAGGACTAGTTACCTTTCTGCTGGCACTGGAAGACACACTGGCCATGAACATACAAGACGTGCCGGGAAACTGTGAACACTCTTCTTTAAAGACTTAAGAAGACCTCAATCACACATTCAAAAACATTGAAATTGATTGTTCCCATAAAAATGTAACCAGGCAATCTATTTTTTAAAAACATTTTTAATGTGTGCACCAAATTCTAGTGGAGGCTGAATTTCCAAACGGGGACATTTTCATTAGAGAAAAGAAGTACAAGTCTCTTCTTCAACACAGACTCTAGGGGAGTTTCCGCCATAGTCTGCCATCATCATACTCACCTTCCGAGGGCATGGAAATCTAGCCGTAAAAACTGGTCCTCGTGCGAGACTGCTCTCTTGGCACGCTGGTGCCTTTGGTGTAATGAATCCACATTATAAGATAATCCTTCATAATGTCTAATATATTTGTTTAGAGGATTTCCATACTGACCTATAAAAAACAGACAACAATTTAAATTAATACTTTTTCTTTTTTGGTGTGAGATATTGCCACGTAGCTCAAGCTGGTCTGAAACTGAAGATCCTCCTGTTTCAGTCTCTTGAGTGCTGAGATTACAGGTGTGCAACATACAACTGGTCTTAAGATAGCATTATCCTAAAGACCTCTTTTAGCTCTGGTACAAGTCCATAAATATTCAATATCTATCAATAGGTATTGGACAACCGTCTCATTAGTCTCACACTAATTATTATGAAGTCCTCATAAATATTATTCTCTCTTTGTACTCATTTTGTCTGTAGGTACAAGACTGGGAATCTACCCAGGAGGTCTCCAGGACTTAGCTGACTCTGAGATGGTCTCACTGAGCTATCCATGTGCTTGCTAAGCTGCAATGCTTCTGCCTCAGCCTGCCCAGTGCTGGGACTACTGCTGTGCACCACCGTGCCTGGCTTTTCTCGAGTGTATCACTATTATGGCAATTTCAATCACACACACAAGTTTGGACATTAGCAGCAGGCTTATCTTAGATGCAGAAGTTCACTTTTATTACACTTTGCTGATAAAAACTGTCAGGATAAGATGGTGATTGTCATTTGTTCTTTCTGGATCTACTAAAATAATCTTGAGTGTGGTAGCACATACCTATACTTCTAGCAGCTCTGAGACACTGAGACAGGAGGGTCTCAAGTTGGAGGACACCCTTGGGAACTTATGGAGACCCTGCCTCAAAATAAAAATTTTGAGAGGGGATGGGAATGCTGCTCAGTGTTAAGGCACTGGTTTGCTGTGCTCAAAATCCTGGGTTCAATCCCTAGCACCAAAAAAAAAAGAGGGGGGAGAAAAGAAAGATAACCTTAGTGTTTTCCTTGTTAGCTTTTCAGTATGATGAATTAAACTGATTTTTGAATGTTAAACAAACCTTGCATTTCTGAGATAAAGTCCATTAGATATCATCAGGTTCAATGTACTGCAATTCTGTTCAGCTTTTTTTTTTTGGCCCAGGGCTCAAACTCATGACCTTGCGTTTGCCAAGCAGGCGCTTTACACCATTGAGCTAAAACCTTGGCCTCTGTTCAGCTTTTTGGAGTTGTTTTTGACACATTCTTGCTATGTTGCCCAGATGGGCTTCAAAATTGAAATCCTCCTGCCTCTGTTTCCTAACGAGCCAGGATTACCAATATGCATCATCACACCCAGCTATTTAGAATTCTTGTTGTCCACATCTTTGATAAATACTGACTTGTAGTTTTCTTGTATTATCTCTGTCAAGTTTGAGCACTCAGTTTAAAAAAAAAAAGGGAGGGGATGAGAAGAATTATCACTTTAGTTCTCTGGACAAGTTTATGTGGAACTGATATTTCCTCCTGATCATTTGGTAAAATTACCAGTGACGCCATCTTAGCCTAGAGTTTTCTTTGTGAAAGATTTCTCACTACAATTTCAGCTTCATAAATAGATTAAAAGCTATTCACGGCATACATTTCTTCTTGGGTGAACTTCAATTCGAAGCATTTAGCACACTATAAATGTTCTCCGAGTGCTGTTAGCAGCAACTCACGAATTCTGTAACGTTTCTATTTTCACTCTGCATGGTGTACTTTCGCCGTCCCTTTTGATTTCTTCTTTGATACATGTGCTGTTCAGAAGTCTGTTGTTTAAACTAGGTGTGGCAGAGCACACAGGAAGATCCAGAATTTAAAATCCACCTGAGTAACTTCCTAAGATCCTGTCTCTAAATACTGCAAAGAGCTGGGGATTAGCTCGGTGCAAAGGCCTAGGTTCCCTCCGCAGTAACAACAGTAAGATCAGCGGTCTGTTCCCAAATGCTCGGGATTTTTCAAGTGCATCTGAAAACAGTGCAATTCTCTCACACACACTGAGGTTTCTCTTCCGACGCAGAAGTTCTCTCTGAACAAATACAGGTGTCGCATTTGCTAGAAAGGAACTAAGTATACCCCCCTTTTGTCAGGAGCGGGGTCTCCTGACAAAATGTCCACCTCTGCTCGTACTGGTGGGATGGCTTATAAATGTCAATGAGGTCAAGTTGGTCAACAGTATTTCTCATCTGATGTCGTAGGATGAGTTAAAATACAAGAGCGAGCTGGTAAGCTCAATGCAAAGGCTCCAGGCTCAAATCCAGGACAAGGAGTGGGGAAAAAAACCACAGGCATTAAAACCGGTATCAAATCACCTCTGGGCCACGTATGTAAAATGTATAAAACAGAAGCTTAAGCTTTAGCTTGGGTCTCATTGCCAAGCATCTCATTTTGTGTATATAAATATTCCAAAAGCAGCAAACATTCTGAATCTGTAACTTGTGGCCCCAAGCTATCCTAAGAAGAGACACAGAACCTGACATTGACACACTTCTGGTCCATGGTACATTCTGCTTATCACCCCAACAGTATACGGTGTGTTTTAAACAGACAACTGTCTTTCAAAGGGATCTAAGAAGAACAGAGCCACACACAGGCCTCACTTCCAGGCTCCTCGCCTCTTGGGCAGACACACACTTGCTACCTCCACGGGTGCCATTCCCTTACCATCTGGTTGACTTCCTCCAACATTTATTCCACTGGGGATATTTTTTCCCAGCTTTTTATGTCAGAAAATGTCTTTCTTTTATCATTGCTTTTGAAAGTATTTTTACTGGGATCAAATTCTAGGTTGACAGGGCTAGCTTTTTGTCATTAGGCTCTCAAAGAGTTGCTCCAGCACGATTTCATACGCACTCTCCCAACAATAAACCGACTGTCATTTCTGCTCCTCAGAATACAACCTCTCCTCCTCCTGGATGGCTTTTAAAACCTTCCTCTTGATTACTGACTGGTGTGATCACATTTTTGCACTGTGGTTTCTGTGAACAACTTGAATCTGTGTGCTTATAGGGCTTTTTCTGTTATCGTTTCTTCAAATTCCCAAAAATTTTTCTTGGCTTCCTTACTCTCTCCTCTTCAAGGATTCCAATTATAAATATATTAATCCACTCAAAGTAACACACTAATAGTCTTTTCATCTTTCTTAAGTATCTTTTTTCTCTCATGTTGAGTAATTTCTATTACTATGTCTTCTAGCTTCTGTCTTCTATTCTGCAAGGTACAATCTGTCTTTAATTCTATCTGGTACATTTCCATCAAAAACATCATGACAGAGTTTGTGGTTTCTTTCTTTCTTTGGTACCAGAGATCAAACTCATGACCTAGCACTTGTCAGGCAGGTGCTTATGTCTCTGAGCCAAATCCCCATCTGGGTTTGTGTTTTTATGGGGTGGTTTCTTTTGGTTTGGTTTTGGTGCTGAGAATAAATTCAAGGCATTCACACTGCACTAAATCGCCAGACCCTTTTTTTGTTTTTAGAGACAATCTAAATTGCCAAATTGACCAGGCCAGGCTGTAACCTGAGATTTCCCTCCCTCAGCCTTCCAGACATCAGGGATTACAGGTATCCATCAACATACCTGGTTAAAAAACACCATAGTTTCATAGTCAAGAGTGCTGGCATATGTCTGTAATCTCAACACTCAAGGCTGAGGCAGAAAGATTTTGAATTGAAGGCCAGCCTGGTCTACATAAACACAGATAGATAGATAGATAGATAGATAGATAGATAGATAGATAGATTGACTGATATATCTCCTGATCTATTTTTCACATTCCTTTAGAGTATTTTTAAGCTTATACTTGGACTTTTTTTTTTTTTTTTTTTTTGTACCAGGAATTGAACTCACAATCTCACACTTGCCAGGCAAGTGCTTATGCCACTGTGCTAAATCTCTGGTCTATACTTGGATTTTTAAAAAATACCTTAGACAAGAGAAAAGATCAGAAGTTAAGCCAGGCACAGTGTTGCATACCGTGTAAACCCCAGTAGTCTGGGAGGCTGAGGCAGGAGCATTAGAAGTTCAAGCCCAGCCTGAGCAACTTAAAGGTCTGTGGCTGTAACTCAGGGCAAAGACCCAGGGTTCAATGCCCAGTACCACCAAAAACAAAAAAAAATCATCAAGAATGAAGAAGCTGCAGTCTAAGAACCACTGTGAGCTCCCTTCCTTGTAAAGGCCAAACGCTGTGTTGCCTCAGCCCCATTCATGAGCCAGATTCCTCCCCAGTCTTGTGAGGGGCGGCAGCACCACTGGGCTTTGCCGAGCTGCTGCTGCTTGCACCAGAACAGCAGTGAAGGCGGATGAATTCTGCCACTGCTGAAAGCTTACAACAGGAACCCGCGGTGCTGCTCCCCTGAAGCCCAAGTGACAAAAGCTTGACTATTTACAAGGGCCAGAGAGTTACTAAACAAAGTCAGCTTTTCTTTGTCCCACACACAAAGCCATCTTATACAGCAACATAATGGTCACTTCCACTGGCAAAGAACCTACCGTAAGGATTTTCCGGATCTCTGCAGCCGAGATGAGAGATGATACACGCAATTTAGCCAGGAAAGCTAAGCATACTTACAGGAACGTACAGTCACAAAGCTCACCTCATCACCATCGTCTTCCACGAGTGGCCTAGGAATGTTTCTGCTAAGTAGGCCTAATAGAGGTATTTATATGATCTCAGTAATGTGAAAACTGACATTAGGGTGGTACACTCAAATTTACTCAGTGGGTTCTCTACCCCAACGCTTAATGCGGAGGGAAAAGAGGGTTAAAATGCTCAACGAAGAGCAGCTTGGGGGGGCTGGGGATTTAGCTCAGTGGCATAAGCGCCTGCCTTGCAAGTGTGCAGTCGTGATTTCGATTCCTGGTACCGATAAAAACGAAAAAGAAGAGCAGCTTGGAGCCGGTAGCATGCATCTCAGCTACTCAGGACGCTGGGGTGGAGGATACAGGCTGCCGATGCAATCTGGCAATACCCTGCCCCATACCCTGCCCCAAACTACAGGACTAAAAGGGCTGGAGATGTCCCTCAGGGCGCCCTGTGCTCAGTTCCCATTACCGCACAATGAACGCGCATAAATGTGGCCTGCTGTTGCCTGACACACACACGGCTGTG